CTCGGGTCGAGCGCGTGTGTTGTCGCGGCTCGGTGTTGATTAGTTGATAGGTGCTGTCTTGAGGTCATGATCGGTGCTCTTTTTCGTGGGCTCTGTCGTTCTGTCGCCTATGATGTGCCGCTGCATTTTCGGTCACTTTAGTTTATCTTCCGTTTCCGTCCACGGAGGTTCCTTTTTTGTTTCTTTTTTCTGCTGTCCTCCTGGTGTGTCTGTGATGCTTACGAGAAGAATGCTGATTGTTGCTCGAAGTTGTTGCGGCCGTGTTGCATTTCTTGTGCTGCTTTTTCGTTTCTTCTAACAAGAACGCAGCGAAGAGCCTCAGCGACTTCGCCTAGCGTGTGCGTGCGTCGGCTTTGTCCCTTTTTGACGCCGCTGCCTGCGCTGTGTGTTGTCGTCTCGTGGATGCTTCAGTTGCACCTGCTGTTGCTGCTGCAGTTGCTGCTGCTGCTGCAGTTGATGCGCGCTTTTCGTGCCGTATCGCCCACAAACGAACACCCGAGAGATGCGATCGATCGGGCCTGATCGGGCCTGATGATGAGCCGTAACCACTTTGGGATGCGGTGTGTAGTAGAAGCAAAGCAGGTTAGCTTCAGACTAGACGTCAAAATGTTTTCACGGGGGGGAGTTGAGAAGGCGTTATCGTGGACGTGCGGGCAGGATGATCCCAGCTCTCCCCCCCTGCATCCTTTCGTGGATCAGAAGTTGGGGAGGGGGAGGGGGTGGGTGCTGGGGCCAAACTAGGGATTATGTCGTTTCCTGTCGTGTAGGTGAGGTTTTGATTAAGCATCGCCCGTTTCTAGGTTTTACCGTGGTGAGTGTTGTTGACAAGGGGATGGCAGGAGGGAAACGGCGGGACTGCTGTGTGTTCTTTCGAAAGAGCCGAAGTTGTTGAGGGCGAGGGAGAGAGGCGAGGGTGCTGTGTGAGCGATCGACGGGGTTGGCGGCGGTGCTTTGGTCGCGTCAATGCAGCATCACCGCATGCACCGGGAAATGGAGAGTAGCGCTGCTCTTTTCTTTGTCTCAGCTGTGGCAGTCCTTACTGCTGTGCGTTGTCAACAGCCCCAACCAGTCCCAGTGACCAAGAGTCGTTTTTTTTTTGGGGGGGGAGGGGAGGGGGTTAGATTGAGATTTATAGATGAGAGCACGGTGGTTTAGGCTCTCTGGTGCTTAGAAAATGGGTGCCCAGATGGACATGTACACAGGGGATGATGTATAGCCTTTGGGGGCGCTTGACTGGCCGGTGAATGAACCTTGTCTGCTCTGTGACGGCCCGTGCTGTAGTCCTACCGTACTTGTATGCTGCGTGCCTAAACCCTTGCATCTTGGTTGTGAATGCACGTGCACATGCATTGAGACGGGCGTGGTTGTCCGCTTAGGCACCAAGTTCCCTTCACGAGCTGGTGTTGCTGGTCGTCCTTGTTCAGAAACAGCTGGGGGGAGGGAGTTTTAAAAAAATTCGTTTGCAGGTGTATCCGGCCGGATCGATCCGTCCGATGTAGGCCCATCGGGCTTTTGCGTGCCCTGCTTTGCCTGATGCCACCGCCCTTTCGTGTTGTCATTTTTCTGTTTTGTTTTGTTCCTGTCGTGTGATGCATGAGCTATATGTATAGTCCACACACCTCGTTAGCACCGCGAATATAAAAGTAATAATAGCAGCATACTCCCTAGCCTGGCTAATGTTCGTACTTCCGAGAGAGAGGGGGGCGCTACGCAATACTTGCGTCCATTTCAGTTGGTTGTACGGGGCGGGCGGGCGGGCTGGCGGGCGGGGGGGG